CGCGCCCCGAGAGGCCAGGCTGGCCGGGAAACCCCTGGCACGGGGCTGCCCAGGGTGGGGCAGGACGGGGTGGGGATCAGCTCTCCCAGAGAGCTCGCAGCTCCGGGTCTGCAGCGCTGACCTCCAGGAGGCACGGAACCCTGGGCTCTGGCCTTGCGGGGGCCCCACCCCCGGCCCAGCCCCCCTCTCTGGGGAAGCAGCCTGGAAGGTGAGGCTCCTAGAGGAGCCAGGCTCCCTGCTGACACCCCCACATCCAGGAGGTGGACTGAGAGGCCACCCCACAGCCCAGGGACAGTCCACCCTGCCTCTCCTGCCCACTGTCGCCTGGGTAGACACAGCCCACAGGGCACAGGTGCGTGCCCCTCCCCGAGGCTTGAAGCCCGCTGGGGCCCCCCTGTGCTAAGGCGCTGAGGCCAGCACCTTGCTGCGGGGGCCAGACAGGGCCAGAGGTGTGAGGGGGTCTGGTCAGTGGAGGCCCAGAAAGGGATGCCCCAGACAAGGGTGTCCCGCCACCCAGCTAGCATCAGTCCGCACGTCCGTCCCGGGTCAGCCTTTTCCGTGGGGGCCCTTCTCTGTTCATGGAGTGGGGGTGCGCGGGGGCCCTGGAACACAGAATGACAGGCCCGCTAACCCCAGCCTGGGCCCCCATCTGGGCCCCCACCTGCCCATACAGGTCTCCCCCGACCCCCAAAGGCCCAGCCTGAGGACCCCACAGCCCCACTCCCACCATTCTCAGAGAAGAGGCCCCGACGCTAGGCCGGTCCAGCCCGGGACAGTAGGCAGGTGCTGCCCGCCCCCCCCAACCGGCCCCGATGGGCGGCTCTGGTAGGGTTGGGGGCTCCTGTACCTCAGCCCCATTGGCACCTGGGAACAGCCAGCCCCGGACAGCCCCTCCGGGGGGCTCTGCGGATGTCGGACACCCCTTCCCGGGGCTTCGCTGCTCTCTGCTCCTGCGAGCTTTGTTATCCGTTTCGAGGTTCAGCTCCGGGGGGCGCAGCTGGGCCGCGGGGGGGCTGACTCTTCAGGGCTCACAGCAACAGCTGTGCTTCCTAAGAGCCTGGGGCCCCGGCTCAGTGGGCTCTGCCGGCCGCTCCCCTGACCCCCGACCCAGCACGCCAGCTCCCGGGCCTTCCTGCCAGCGGAGGCCACCTGGGGCAATTCGTGAGGAACATCAGCCCCCCCAAATCCAGGGTCAGCGTTAAATCGCTGGGCTTCCCAGCGCGCCAAGGTCACACCCGGCAGGGCGAGGACCCGCCCAGACCCCGCTGTGCCCGGGGTTGGCGCGGGGCACCGGGGAGGCGGGGGCTGCTGCCCTCCCGCCCCAACCGTCCGGTTTCGGACGGTCGCCTTGCCCAGGGGCACTGGGCAGCAGAGCGGCTTGTGTCTGCGACGCGCTCGCGGGAGCTTCGCAGACAGGCCGGCGCGGACAGGCCGGCGCGGACGGTCTGCAGAGCTGGCCCTGTGCGCCTCCTCTGTAAGCGCAGATCTCGCCGCAGCAAGGTGTTCCGGGCCTGGCTGGGTCGGGTCCAGCCTCAGCTGGGACGCAGAGACCACTGTCAGGTTCTTGGGGTGTGCCCAAGCTGGCACCCCCTTGCCGAAAACACCCCTGGTGAAGAGGCCTCACTAGGGCAGAAGCCCTGACCAGCTGTGGGCCACTGTCCTCTCCAGGGCCCGCGCTGAGCTACAGCCTGCGGCTGAGCGCCCGTGAGATGCCCCTTCAGGGGAGGGGCACGCAACCCCCCATCCGGGAGGGCAGGGGTGAGGGAGGGAGGGGGGGGCAGGAAGCCTGAGCCCCTGGCCCCTGGGCTGGCCAGGAAAGGCCCGAGGCCCCAGGCTCGCAGACTGCCTGTCTCCCCAGGTAAGTGGACGAACCCCAGCCCCGACCGCTCGCCACACGCCGGACACTGGCTCAGAGCTCCCTCCAGCCCTGGAACCTGACCAGGGAAGCCCACGAGCGACTGAATGCCAGTGCTGGCCCAGCCATGCGCTCCGAGGGGTGATGGTCCCTGAGAGGTGGGGCTCACTCGAGGGAGCGAGGTGGGCCTGGGGGAGGAGCCCGAGAGCAGAGCCTTGGGCGCG